GGAGGGTAACAGAAATGTGAGCCCAGCCTGGGCAACTTAGTGAGACCCTGCCTCAAAAAGAAAAAGTAGAGAAAGAGCTAGGGAAGTAGCTCTTTGTAAAGGCCTAGGTAGGGTTCGATTCCCAGTACCATAGAAGCACAAACAAAAACAAAAACAAAATCAGGCAACAACTGTAAGTAGACTTTTCCCAAACAATTTATGTTACTATCCCTAGCTGAATTATAATGCTCATCTGGGTGTATTTTATTCCTTTGAGATAAAATCACACTGGAAGAATATCGCCAGTGTAAACACAGCATGTGTACTCGATGATACTCATTTAGAGTTTGTTTGAAAATGAGCTACAGACCCAGGTCAGCAGGTGACGCTAAGTATTGGTGCTTTGTAGAAATGAGTCTCCTTCCAAGAAGAGTGCTACGATTTGAATTTTTATGAGAAAGCACACACTTTTAAAAAAGCTGGCAACGAATTTTAACAGACCTGAAATACTGCACGTCTGAGAAGTAAGTGTGGCTCACATGTCCTGGGTCCCTGCCCGCGTGCCGAGAACTCCCTCTTCCCAGCCTCGCCTAGGACTGTCCTTTGATCTGGTGCCATGCACACAAAGCTCTCAGGTATCCAGAGGGAAGGGCATTTGCAGTGAATCATCCCTGGGAGGGCTGGGACTCTCGTGACCCGGAGTCACCCACTTGGAAGGACTCTGAAGCTTCCGCTCCTCGCTCGCGGACAGACTCTGACCTTGCTGAAACTGTGCCCTGGCTGCTTCCTTCTCCCCGCGCTTTCCCTCCCGCCCTCGCACTCAGCGCTGCTGTCTTTCCTGTGGTGTTGTGTCTCTGCTTGGGCTTCCCTTCCTCCGGGAAGGCTCAGGCCCCCGAGGATGAGGTGTGGAGGCCCAGACCTCTGACGCCTGTGGGCGGATTGGTGAGGAGCACGGACTTTGGAATCCAAGCAGCTGAGCTCGCAGCCCTGCTCCTCTGTTTATGAACTGTGTGACTCGGGGAGGTGAAAGCAGGCCTCCTCGACGCTGCACGGCTCGCTCATGGTTTCCGAGCTGTGCGGAATCACTTCTCTCTGCAGGGATCAGTGAACCTAGGTGGGGCCATCCACCGCTTGTGAACTTGGTCAGTGTGATCAGTCCCTGAACTCCGAGAAGCAGGGCTCGCGGTGCTAGGGGACCTTGGTGAACGGTGCTGTGAGGTCCTGCCTGCGTCCCCACCTGCCCTGCTCCCATTCGGTGTTTCTTGTGGTCCTCTGTCACTGGAGATGGAACTCCAGAGATTGGTGTTGGAGTTTGGGGAGTTGGGGAGGAGCTCTACTTTCCTTTTCAGGGAGGGACCCGTGATGTACCTGTCATTTGCACACCAGGTGCCGCGTACCTTTCACAGAGGGGACGCGGGATTAGTGCTCTTCAGCCCCTCACTAGCCTCTTCTTCTCCTTCCTTCTCAATCGTCCTCTATGAGATGGACCCGGAGGACCTGCACTGTGGACCATCTGCCTTGCTCCAAAGGGAAGGGAGAAGCCATATTTCATGGAAGAGACAGAGAAGATGGAATAAAAAATTGCCCCTGGTATTGGAAGTGATATACGTTTGAATGATTGAAGAGGGACCTTTGTAGACTTCTCATTGTCAGAGAGAAAAACCAATGCATATGGTTTTGGTAGGGAGAGAGGAGCAGAGGAAAATTTCTCTCTCCCCAGGTTGAGGAACAGCAGTAGTAGCATTCTGTTAATATGAGCTCTATTTCATTAAAAGCAAAGCAAAGCAAAAGAGATGTAGTAAATGAAATGATAAGTGTTTAGATATTTCTCCAGTCTCTATCACCACCACCACCACCACCACCACCACCACCACCGTCACCATTTTGTGGATTCCAACGCAGCCAGCCTGGTTTTGCTAGCAATCTCTGCTCACTGCACGCTCGTTTCGTCAGCTCCTGTACTTCTCAGTTAAATCCCGTGATTAGACTGAAAGATGATGGCCACAGGAAGGTTTGGGGACAAGCATGACTCCTTGGGGACAGGCGCAGCCGGGCACGCCCTGGGTGGGGCAGGTGTCCCGCCATCCCCAGGTGGGGAAGCCGAGGGGGCTCAGCCGGCTGCGGGTCTGCTCACTGCACGCTCGTTTCGTCAGCTCCTGTACTTCTCAGTTAAATCCCGTGATTAGACTGAAAGATGATGGCCACAGGAAGGTTTGGGGACAAGCATGACTCCTTGGGGACAGGCGCAGCCGGGCACGCCCTGGGTGGGGCAGGTGTCCCGCCATCCCCAGGTGGGGAAGCCGAGGGGGCTCAGCCGGCTGCGGGCTGCGTGCCCGCGTCCAGGAGGCTCCGCCCAGGCCTCCTGCGAGTCCGTCAACCGATTGGGGTGACGGCGGGATGGACACGCTCGCGCAGGCGGGCTCCTGAAAGCAGGCCAGACTGTTCACCACGAAATCTTCAGAACATTTCCCAAACACAAAACCTGTCTCCCCTGCGGGTGAGCGGGAGCGTCCCGCCTGCTTTCTTGTCTAAACAGGTCGACGTCTGTACCTGCAGGGCGGCAACCTGGCTTCTGCTTCCCCAGGGGTGAAAACTGCCCTTGGGGCCCTCTGAGTCGGCATTGAAAACGTCACTTCTGCTTTGGTGCCACCAAGTGGCCACTTTGGGAATGCCACGTTTAAGAAGATGCTCTCAGGGCCTACAGTTTTTATAATCTGGGATGAGAGCTGAGCCTGTAGCTCCTTGCCTAGTATGCACAGAGGCCCTGGGTGTAATTCCAGTCCAGCATCTGGGTCCTTAGCTTTGTAAATGTTAGAAACCCAGTTTTCAGTGAATTTGGGGTTGTTCAGATTTCCAGGGATAGCTCACGCTCACAAAACTTACAAGGGATGCTTGTTAAGGCAAAATGCCAATATGTTACTTTACAATTAGAAACACATGTAAGGGCTAGGGATTTAGCTCAGTGGTTCCGGTGCCTGCTTTGCCAATGCAAGGACCCGGGTTTGAGCCCCGGTACAAAACCAACAACAACAAAAAGCATATGTCTGTAGTTGTTAGTAGAGTATATTTCTACCCCATAGGAAATGTTTTGGGGAAACAAATTCCATGAGTAGATTCTTTGGTGAAACTGCGGTGTGTCCCTGAGTGTGCATTCTGTTTAACGTCAGGCCTGCTGAGCTGAGACCACCTTTGGCTCCTCAGGGATTTAGTGACCCTGGTGGGGGACACTCACGTTTGTGGACAGTGCAGAGTCCTGGACTATCCTGATGACACAGTAACCTGATCTTTGTCTTGGCAAATCCTTTTGAGACTGTGTGCCAAGCATCTGAGAACCTTTTCTTTCCTCAGGGCCCAAGGCAACTGCAAAGCCATGCTGTAGACCTGTGGATTCAGCTTTACTCTTCTGAGAACCTGTTAGGTCACCATGACTAGCATTTGGGTGCTCCCCACAGCCCCCCCCATTTGTAGGCTTTTGCTTAGGGGCAGCTGCTATACTTGTTGCATCATAATTGCTTAAAATTTCATTCTCGGAGGGAAACATGTTTTATGCTTTGGTGAGTCCTTCCCTGGTTGCACGTTAAAATGAATATGCAAAGTCCTTGATGACTTTGGCTTAGGTTCCCAATAAAGAACAGTGTGTGGCTGAAGACGGGGATGTTATGTCAGTAAGAAGGCGAGAGAGTGCGCAGCTGCGTCTGGAAAGCTGTGCAGACCTCGCCGTGCAGGCCTCTGCTTTACTGCCCTGGCCTTGCATCCTCTTGGGAGCTCAGCCCTTTCGGATTCTCTGCAGCAGCTCCCTCCTGACGGGGTCCACACTGACCGCTGAGACAGAGCCCTCAGCCAAGGGGGCTTGGACTGGGGATCTTAGATCTTTAGAGGTAGATTGGTGACCCGTGTTTAGAAGTGGACCTCTTTTATTTTGCCAATATGTTTGTTTACCTCACCTCCTAGACTGAAAACTCAGGAAATCCATACAAACCCTGAGTATCTAGCTCCTTTACGAAATAGTACAGCTGGCTAAGCAGGGCTGTGTCCCACAGGGCACTCAGCTCCTGGACTGGCCTAATGGGGTGACCCCCTGGGGTTGTCCCAGTGCCACCTGCCTTCCACAAGTTTACCTTGCAGCCTGGGGTGCGGAGTTGGTGGGTACCTTTCGGTGGGCCGCACAGACAAACACAAAACCACCATAGGGAAGGAGCGGTGTGTCAGGACCCGGGCCCCTGTTCTTGTCCCTGCTGTCTCCTGGGAGTTCCTTCCTTGGAGCTGCTCCCACTGCTTTTACTTAGGGCTCCGCCTTCCCCCACCTTCGAATTTGTCCCGGTGCTTCCGGGAGGCGTGGGAACGGAGTGTGGTTGCGCGTATAGACTTTAGGATCACAAGACCTGGCTTTGAATCCCAGCTCCACTTTTTATAGAGTTCACTTCCCTTATCTGTAAGATGAAGGTGATAGCTCGGTATGAGTATTAAGTAGGATTTTGTACATGAAGCATCTAGCAGAAGATTGAGACTTAAATATTACCTCGAGGGGGGCCTTGGTCTCTTCCCTCTACCAAGACATAATTCTCTCCCTTCTCCATGCGCTGGATGAGGCTGAACTGTCATGGATGCTTTCCGGCTACTTACACATCTTTACTCTTATAATAAAGCCAACTGTTTTATGTTTTTTCCCCCTTTTTGTAACATCCAGCCTTTCTTTTTTCTTTTTTGGTACCGGGGGTCAAACTCAGGACCTTGTGCTTGTGAGGCAGGCGTCGGCCTCACTGAGCTGAATTCTGGGCCCCATCCAGCCTTTCTTATCTGTATTTCTCTCTTCTTATTGTAGTCTGTATCACAGAGGCTCTCGTATGAGGATAAGGGATGACTGGTGAATTTCTTTTGCTTTAGGTAATTCTTTAAGAAGAGATGTCTAGGCAAGACTTTTGTATAGTTTTGTGAAAGAAACCACATTAGCTTCTACAACAATCTCTTGGAATTCCTTCTGAATATAGATCTACCTTTTCCATTTCATTGTATGTTTGCAGAAATAGGACCAAGATCAAAAGCTGGAAAGACGTCGGCAGAAAATATTGGTACTGCCAGAGGAACGCTGCGCCTGAGGTCGCAGGGTCCTGCCACTGTGGAAGAAATGGTATGTTATGTGCATTTGGTCCTCACTCTGCTTGGAAACCTACAGTTATTCATGTTTATTACAGCTGGAAAAGCAAAACCATAAGGTTAAACAAAATGCCATTTTTTCTGATCGAAGTATGGACTATGTAAAAAAATTAAAATAAAGCAACTAAAGCCAGGAGCAGGGATACATAAAGGTTTTTGTTTTTTTTTGGTTGTTTTGAGACAGGGTCTCACTACATAGTTGAGACTGACCTGGAACTCACTATATAGCCCAGGATGCTCTCAAACTCACAGGGATCCTCCTGCCTCAGCCTCCCAAGTGCTGGGGTTACAGGCGTGCACCACCACGCCCGGTTTAAGGAGCTTTTGATAATGGGAGATTATGTTCCTGAAGTCCAGCCTTCTCAGATGAAATCTTGTAGCTGCCTTGAGCTTTCTCTTTTGCACCCCCAAACTTCCATCACAGATCCCCAAGGATTGGCCTGTGATCAACCAGAGTCCCACAGCCCTGGCCCCAGGCCCCCTGGTCCCATCTTGGACCTCACAGTTAGTTGCCTGCTGTGCTGTCTCTTGCCCCTTTGATCTGCACTCAGCCCCGCCCCGGAATCATCCTCCAGAAACACAAGCAAGAGAGGTGATGTCACTCTCCTGTTCGCAGCCCTCCCACGTCACTCAGCAGATAGCCAGCATCCTCGGAGTCCCCAGCACAAGCTGCCGGCACGTTTCTTCTCCGATCGCTTCTCCCCTGCTCTCCCCTGGCTCCGTGTGCTTCAGACACATGGGCCTCCCCACTGTCCCCAACCTCTCTGGAAGTTCCGCAGGGTCTTGGTTCTCCTGTCACCACCCACGGCTGGCTGCCTTGCCTTCGGCTTCCTGCCCATGTGCAAGCTTCTCTGCAGACCTTTTCTGGGTGTCCTGTGTGCACCTTGGTTCTCTCTTCCCCTCCTGCCGCTCGGTCTTCATTTTCTTCAGAGCACTGAAGACTGCAGGACCCAAATCTTTGTTTGATTTCATCTGTTGCGCTCCTCCTTTGCTTGGGTCTTGCTTACTGCACCCACACACTACGCGATGAGTCAGACGAATGTGAACCTGTGCTGAGTTAATGAATTAATACTGGGTTTGACTTAGCTGGAGGAAATCAAGGGTTTCTAATTTGTGTCTGTGCTGAGGTCAGCATTTGAGTGCAAACAAAAAACAAAAAACAAAAAACCAGGAGAAGAGCTAAGTAGAGGCAGAAAGCGGGGAGAAGAACACAGCAAGGTTGGAGGCAGCTGCAGGTCTCCTCTCAGCGTGGAGACGGTGGTGATGACGTGGTCCTGGGGCCCCAGAGGCTGGGTTCCTGTGGCCGCACAGGCCCTGGGCCCCTTGGGTCTCTCCATGTGAAAACTGCCTCAGGTTGCTGTGTTTTTGAAGAGTAAGAGGGCAGGAGTCAGGGGGACAGCTAAAGGCTCTTTGAGAGCAGGAGCCCAACCTTTTTGGGTGACAGCATCCAGGATCAGGCAGGCGTGGGCCATTTGTTAGAGCTGACACCCACGGGCCCAGGGTGTCCTGCAGAGTGTCTGAGTCACCAGAACAGGGACCCTTCCGGAGGACCCAGGGGGAGACTCTGAGTTGGGGAGAAAGGACTGCTCTGGAGGCCAATGGCAGCTAGGAGGCCTGGCCAAGCCAAAGGCATCTTGGGCGTGAGATCTGAAGAGGTCTGTGCAATGCACCAGGGCCGCACTTACTGCCTGTTCCAAAGCTTCACACTTCCGGTTGCCCAGCACACTGCCTGGTGAGTTGCCTGAGGCCTGCGCCATCTCTGGCCGGAATGACCAAGCCGACGTAGAAGAGAGGAATTTGTAAGGGGGTGGACGCAAAGTGGGAAGGACTGGTTATGGGAGCTGTGCTAGCCCTGCTCTCTGCCAGAGACTCAGGAAAAGTGAGCAGACTTAAGACAGTTTGCAGAGGAGGACGGTGGCTGGGGAACCCCACCTTCCTTCAGGAGCGCACAGTCACCCCACAGCTGACAGGAAGTGTTTGTCAGGCACCCCTGCGTGTCAGGGTGGAAAAGAGCAATTTAAGATCTATCTGGGAGGTAGGAAAGATTCAGAAATATCCCCAAATCCATCCTTGTTTGCATAGTCTGTTTAATTAAACTGGTCAGTTAAAAATAGCTCATCATGAAAGCGAAAAGCTGGTTTGGTGCTAATATTAAATATGATACAAACGACTTGCAATCTCATTTCTAACACTGAAGGACTGGAAGGACTTACAGGCTTTGAAACAAATCATCTTCTTATAACTTGGCACAGATTCTGAAAACTGAAGCTGTTCCGTGTGCGTACCCTGAGCTCGAATCATTGTATTTGTTGATCTGGGCCCAGGCCAGGTGCTGGTGACACAAAAACGAATAAAGACCTTGCTCCTCCTCTAAAGGGAGAGAGGGATGAAAAGAAGCTTAACAGAAATAGGTTTCCGGATACAGTGTCACAGAGAAGGGGTCGATGAGCTGGCGGGGAGACAGAGCAGGTCCTGAGTTTCCCTCCCAGAAATGATCACGTGGGACGGAGGTGGGGAGCGCAGTGTCCCAGACTGGGGGAGCTGCTGAGGTGTCTACAGGACTGGGGTGTGGGGTAGCAGGGGGCCTGGGCATTAAATAGTCTGGGTCAGGATGTGAAAAGGCAGGGAGTCCCGTGGGAGCTGCGGGGGGAGCCACACCTCCGGTGCTGTGGGAAAATCCCTTGGGTTGTCGGGCAAAAGGGATTGGGAAGGTGGTAGAAGGGAGGCAAAGTAAGAAACCTCTGCCCGTAAGGAAAAACGAGGACCGGACCCAGGCAAACAGATGCCGTGGAGAAGAGGCCATAGGGCATGAGCTGCGCGTACAAGGTACGCGAACGGCAGCGAAGTCAAGAACGATGTGTGCGTGTTACTGGGCGTGTCCTGTTCTTGTACAGGGAGTATGAGCTCAGCGGCGAGCGCTTGCCTCCCATGTACACAGCCCTGGAGATTCCATGATTAAAAAAAAAACAATAAAAGAAAAGCAAGAAGATTGTACGGATACCCTCAAGGATAAAAAAATAAATTTTTGTTATACATGAATAAAATAGATAATTTTCAGTCAGTTTGAGGACACAAACCAACATGTAATTATGACGGCATTAAAAGTAGTGTGGGATTTTCACAACCTCACCATTCGGTTCTGCACTCGGACCCATCGGTGAGTATTAAACATCTTTGGGGCAAGTCCTCATTAGCTGTGAAGTCATTTAAAACCAAGAACTGACATAATGTGCACATAGAACAAGACTCACTAAATACAAAACCAAGATTTTTAAAGATTATCAAAACATACCCAATCTTTTATTTTTTCTAACTGAAATTTGTTAATAGTTTTAGAAAGAACGGAATGTTTTAGCATCACTACTATATGAAACAAAAGCTACTTAAAATATTTCACCACTAACTTCTTTTTCCTTATAAAATTTCCTCTTTGGCAGTGTTTTTATAAAAAACTCGATAGACTGATTCAGCAATACATGTAATTTGTGAAAAATACGTATAAGTGAAGTTAAGTAAAAATAAACAATAGGAGTGGGTACGGAGACAAGCCACGGGGAGTGGAGGCCTCGGCCTGTGCAGGGAAGGCACAGTCCTTGTGCTGGTGCAGGGGACACCTCCGGTCTCGTCATGTTTGTTTGTGTCCGTGCTCCGCAGTCGCACGGCCTCCTTGCCGCCCCAGCAGCCTTGGGTGCGCAGACTCATCTCTGCCTAGCTGTGGCCTTCTACTTACAGCTTACCCGATGCCCGCTCCTTGCTGAAAACCCAGCTCCTAAGCCACCTCCTTTCTGAAGTCTATCCCGGGTCTTCGAGATGTAAATTTACCTCCTGCCCCGTGGTGGCTCCGTTACCTTTCACGGCCTTTAAAATTGTTCCACAGGCCTTCATTTTTACATCGGCGTCACCATCTCCATACTTAGCTTCTTGGGAACTGAGTGCCTGGATTTCTGTTTTTGAATCCACAACGTTTGATTCTGACACCAGAAGTAAGATTTACCGTATCGATTTACATTTAGTTAGAGAGCTCGTTCTGCATAGATTTACACTGAAATGAGCTGCAGACCATCATCACCAACTGGCTCTAGATCCAGTTTCCTCCTAGATGCGCTCTGATGACCAAGAGCTTCCTCATAAAGATGTTACATCTTATTTCTCTTTTCTTTGATAAAGCCTTCTGAAGCCAAAGCAAAGGCGATTGAAAAGATTGACGATCTTCTTGAGCTGTACATGGGAATTCGAGATATCGATTTAGGTAAGACTGTACTATTTCATTTTTAAAAAATTTGTATTTATTTAAAAATATTTCATTAGCACACTTTTGTAGCACATAATGATTACATCATTTGGGGAGTTGGTGCAGCACAGTCTCTCCCTGCCCCTTCCTGCATCTCTTGGTCCCTTTCCCCTTTGCAAAAGTTTACTATTTTAATTTTTTTTGGTACCGGGGATGACAACTTGGAACCTTGCGCTTGTGAGGCAGGTGGCGGAACCACTGAGCTAAATCCCCGGCCCAAATGTTTACTATTTTAAAAAGTCTCCTTACTCTTACTTATGAATGCTTATTTAGCCTTATTTACATTTAGAGCCAATGTACTTTTTAGGATAAAACATATTTGTGGAGTATGAAAGAAAAGAGCAAACAAAGATATTAGAGACTGATGAAGACCAGGTCTTCTCCACCCAGCGGTGTGAGGTGCCAGTACCAAGCCTGCTTTTAAAAATCTTGGTTCTTAATCTGTAACCTGTGAGTAATCATGTCTCCTTCAGTCTGGTTTTTGTAGATTAAAAATATATGAAAATAATTTCATGAAAGATGCATATGAATGTTTTTGTTTGATTTACTGTATTCACACTGGTTAAACTGCACTTTTATGATATGAAAGTCAGGCACCATTTACTAGGTTTACTGAAACCTTCTGAAGAATGAATGAGAAATACACCAAAAAAGGACACACTGGACACATTACTGCTAAGGACTGAGCAGTTGAATTCCTGTGTGCTCCTCGGGATCATCGTGAGGGTGTCAAGGTCCGGATTTACCAGTTAAGACTCTGCCAGTTGCACACGACTAAAAGCAAAAACAAACAGAAACCCTGACTCCATCTGGTTCCGGGGGAAAAGGGACATCTTGGTTCTTCGGTGACATCCATAGCCATGCTGTCCTGGAAGGTGCCTTCTCTCTGCTCAGGCCCTGTGGGTCCCCACAGTGCAGGCAACCCCCAGGGAGCCGAAATGCCAGCCACAGCGCCATCTCCGTACCCACTGGGTAGCAAGCGCGGTGGGCCTGGGTGTGTGGGTCTTTCAGCCAAAATGCCCAAGACGGCACTGCAGGCCCCTCCTGATCACAGGGGCTGGGCCGCGTGCTCTGCCTCTGGGCTGGAGTGATGAGATGCAGGGTCGGGGCAGGGGAGGCCGGGGGTGTGGGCCTGCATGGGTGATGCACGTGTGTGTATGCGAGCACGTGTATGCATTCGTGTGTGTGCATCTGGATCAGGTCCTTACATTTTTTAAAGTCAAGGACTTGCCTGTTTACCTGCCAATTGTGCCTGTATTTTTTTTGTTTGTTTGTTTTTGTTTTTGTTTTTGGTACCGGGGATTGAACTCAGGTCCTTGCGCTTGCAAGGCAGGCCACCGAACCACTGAGCTAAATCCCCGGCCCGTGCCTGTATTTTTTAGGGGGTCGGCCGAGTCTGCTAGGCAGCACCCTGCCGCTGAGCGGCACCCGGAGACACCGGTTAGTAGCCCTTGAAGCTCATTTTTCCCTTTTGTGTTTCCCCTCATCTCCCACTTTCCTTACAGAATTGTTAAAAGGCAATATTAAAACAGATTTACCATAAGTTCATAGTTGGCCTCTACTCGTAGTTCCGGAGCTGGGTAACGCATGTGCTCCGTAAAATAGGCCGGGCGGGCGTTCGGAAGGTTTGGGGTTTGGCCGTTACCTGCCCGGATTTCCCGGAAGGTCAGGTGACAGCTCCCCTATGGCTCTCCAGGGGCAACTCCAGCCCGAGTGGCCCCATCTGGTCTGGTCTCTTGGGTGTCTGCAGAGCTAAGTCCAAAGCAGTAGCCTCCTATCCATTTTACTTAGCAAAGTTTAGGCTTATATTTTTCTTGCCTGAACTTTTAAAATACAATTTCTATACTGGAATGGACAGTTTTGGTCTCTAGTGGAAAAAAGATCGATATACTGTTTCCTGCCCCTGAAAGAAAAAGTGCAAAACTTGCACACACTAGGTCTTTGCTTCATGTGGGTGAGAAGACAAATGAGGGGATTCTGTGGGAATGCAGCGTCTTCCAACTTCTCTCCCCAGAGCTCTGGAAGTTAGGGACCTGCTGGATTTGCACGAATGACCTGTGACAGGTGTGCATGGAAGTGAGGATACAGGGGTTCAGAAGTGAGAGTGCTCTGAAGCTCAGATAACCAGGTGGTGTGAGTTGGACAGGTCATGTACTAGCTCACCTTCTGGGCGCTGACTCTTCCTCCCAAATCCTTGTGAATTAATCGGCAATCCCCTTGGAGGGTTACTTATCAGCGTCAAGTCCCTCCACCTGACATGAAGTCATTACCATTGGACTTGATTAGCAGCATGATTAGTGGCTTAGGGAGGTGGATGTAAGGGATTAGTTGGAGAGTGTCAACTGTTATTAAATTAGGAATTTGTATTATTCAGACACGATTAGCAAGAAACACAAATCAAAATGTAAGTCTAATCTAACAGACAAATGAATAACTTACCTGTGTACCTAGATTTCCTGGCTTTCTGAGATGTTATTTTTTTAATGCAGATTACATTGACCTGCTATGGTGAAGCTCTTGATGTCAGTGTGTATTAGCACATTAAAAACGACCTGGACATGAAGTACTTAAAATGGAACACTGTACCCCAAATGGATGAGGGTGTATTTATTATTCAGCAATGGAGTACAATGCAAGTGGATTTTTGGCAGGAAGTAGATCTGTAGAAGTGCTTCATTTTGGTTGGAAAGTAAAGTTGTGCTTCGTGACTTTTCAGCCAGCCAATGTCAGCTTCAGTTGCCTTGGGATGTCATCCACAGGAGGTAAATGAGTTCTGGAAGATGTTGAGTGTACAAGGCCTTATACGGCTCGGCCCAACTTACTAGGAAGGTGGCCTGTAGTTCTCCTTGGGAATATTTACGGCAACTGTGTAAGTTCACACAGAACTACAGTGATTGCTTTTTTCTCTCTCTCATTGAGTTTATTGGCACATTTTAGGTATACAGTACAGTTACATTCATCACTGGGATCCTGTACCTTCATATGGTCTTGGCTCTCATTTTTTTCCCCATATCCCTGAGCTACAGTGATTTCTAATGATATCATTTTGGGAGTTTGGAGATCATATGAGCAACGATTTCAGAATTTTACAAGTTGTAACTAAGGGATTCAGAAATGTGTGGAAAGGAAATTTGGAGTGTAGTTTCTCAGCCTTTTTCTTATAGAACCAGATCATTAAAAAGAGTGTATGATAATGATGCATTAGTAATGATAACTGCATTTCTTCCAAGAGTCATTTTTTAAAATGAGTGCAGAACAGTGTGCATTACAATGAGTCATCTTTCCGAGATACGCTCCTGAGAGGTACGTTCTGCAAGTGCTGTGCTTTCAATGTCCGACGCATCGGAGGGTTGTTTTCAATGGGCTGCGCTTTATGAAATCCTAAGTGAGGAAGAGCTTCCACGGAATGAGACAGTTACAGATTTCATAGTTAACCACAGCGAGGACTGGTCTTTAAATCCTGATGTTTGCCATTTTGTAGATTTGAAAACTGAGATTTAGATAAGTTTGGCAACTTACCCAGGCAGTGAGCAAGTTAAAAGCTCAGATTTATTTTACTTATTTTTTTTTTGGTAGCAGGGATTGAAGTTGGGACCTCGTGCTTGTGAGGCAGGCGGCGGCAACACTGAGCTAAATCCCCGGCCCAAAGGCTAAGATTTAATTCTGTGACTTTGATACCAATATTTTAAACCACAGAATAATTTTAATCTCTAAAATATTAAAAAGCTTAAATGGAAATTATATATTGGTCTATATCACCAACAGGTTTTTCGTTAATAATTTAAAAAGTTCCGGATGATGATATATATAAACCATTCTCAGAATGGCCACTAGAGGTCAGCACCTAGCTGCTATATGTGGCATAACAATTTAGTGGAATTGTTTTTTGTCAGATTGTATTCAGGTATTAATTGCCCCCCGCCCCGTACTTGGGACTGAACCCAAGACCTTCTCATTGAGATATATCCCCAGGCCTTTTTTATTTTTATATTTTGAGACAGGATTTTGCTAAGTCACTATGTTGCCTAGCCTGGGCTTGAACTTGCAATCCACCTGCCTCAGCCTCCCAGTGTGCTGGGATTACAGGTGTGTGCCATCACACCTGGATAAGTATTAAATATTATTATTGTATATTGTAGATCTATTACAATCAACAGATAAAAATCATGTTAGCAGCTATTTTATGTTAATGTGATATAACTTTCTAAATCATATTTTACTAACATTTCATTGGCTTTTCTCTCAATGCACATATTTCTTTTATCAATAAAGGAAAAAATTATGCATTCATTTCTTCTGCAAGGATTTTTAAAAACTATGTTTATACTATGTGCATTAGCAAAAATTCATAACATGTTCCTACGTGTTTAATTCTTAATTTCTTTTTCAATTTGTTCAGCAAATTTCTGGCTTAAAAAAAGATTATGAAACACTGTATTACATATAGTGTTTCCAACACAATTTTTTTGAGACAGGGTCTCACTGTGTAGTTCAGCCTGGACTCGAACTCACTATGTAGTTCAGGTTGGTCTTGAACTTGAAGCGATCCTCTTGCCTCAGCCTCCTGAGTGCTAGGATTACAGGCGTGCACCACCATGTCTGGCTCTCCAACACAATTTTGAAGTTGCCTGATTGGTATTTTTTTGTTGCTGCTACAAGATCGAGTTCTAAGTCTTTAATAGCAGACCCCAGCATGACAGTTTCCTCACGGTAAACACTGGGAAGTTTTCCAGAGACACTGAAGTCCTGAATTCACAGGAAGGGTGAGTTCTACTTTAACTGCTTTGAAGTTTTAGCTTTGGGGCAAATTATTACCCTTTAAGCCTTAATTTCCACATCTGTAATTAAAACAACCACATACAACTGTCAAAGCATCAAACTAAATAATGTGAATAAAGCCCCTCTCACATCATGCACAGCGATCATTCTTAGCAATGATCAGTAATAATTATTACTAGCTTAAAAAAATTTTAATCTTGCTTAGTACATGTCTGCAGTTCCTAATGGTTACATTGTCGCCGACGAAACACCTCAGTTATTTTTCCTCTCCCATTGCTCTCCGTGCTCCCGGTGATGACCGTCGTGGCATAGCAGGGGACAGTGTAGGACTGGACCACTTGGGTCTGCACAGAGCCCTGAGCGAGCGCATGCGCAAAGTAGGTGCGTTGCAACCGCAGGATCTCAGCGCTGGCGTTTTAAGCGGGGTTTTCCGCATGAGATGGCCGGGAACCCGGACGCGAGACCACAACCTAGGGCAGCCCAAGTCTCAGTGAGGAGTGGCTGGGCTCGGGGCACCAGACAGTGCTGCTGCGGAACGCTCAGAGGCATAAACAACTCTGTACTATGTGTGTGTGTGTGTACGTACAAGAGGGAGGAAGGACAGGGAGACAACAGTGAACAACTACACTTCTGACACTGTTTTTTCCAGTGTTTAAGAGCGTCAGGTATTGTGTTTCTCCCTCTGAATACGCTACAGCAGGGTGGCGAACCTGTGGCACACGTGCTGCAGTGGGCACGCAGAGCCTTCTCTGCCCGCTTGTGAGCTAAGTCAGCCTAGCAGCTGAGCGTCGGATGTTCAGGTTTAATTGCAGGCTTGGCACTTTGTGATAAATAAGTGGTTTTGGGTGGCACTTGGCACACTTGTCTCTATAAGTTTCGCCATCCCTACTCTATACGTTTTCCTATGCCTTTTAGCTGTGTGCCTATTTGTTCCTGTATTAAATTTCTCCTCCACATATCTCAGCCACAAGTCAGTCAGTTCAGTCGTTAGGTAATTGTCTCAGTGAATGCTATTTGTAAGGCTTATGAGAAATAGCTAAAATATAGATTAGGGGAATTTCTGAGCCCCAGTCTTGCTTTATCCATACTTAATATTTAAGTTTGGATGCTTCTCTTTTACATACTAGCTACGGGACCAGAGTTCTGGGTTTCACTTTCACTGATGCAGGCTAACTGTGGAAATACAAAAAGTAATTAAGTTTAATCACAACATCCCTCCTGTCCCTACCTGTCCATCAGCACTTGAATTCACAAGCATTGCATCAGTTAGTATGGGCAGAAAAGATTACAGTAGTAAGAGCCTTTGGAAAGTGATTCTGTAATTGGAGAGAAAATACCTGCACAACAATAAGGTCACTACAAAGCCATGTTGAACATGCATTCAAAGGTCTTATTACTCAACTGGCAGTGGTGATGCACACCTATATTCCCAGCACCCTGGGAAGCTGAGGCAGGAGGATGCAAAGTTTAAGCCTAGCCTGAGAAATTTAGCAGTTTAGTCAGACAGGGTCAAAATAAAAATTAAAAAAAGGACTGGGGATACGCATATTACAGTGCAAAGGGCCTGGCTTCAATTCCCAGGAAAGGAGGAGAAAGAGAGGGAACCAGGGACGGGGAGGGGGTAGGGAAGGGGAGGACCTTATTATTCAAAGTGTCGCTGGGGACCCGCATCACCTGGGAGTTGTTGGAGATGAGAATCTCAGAGCTGCTGTTTGGCCTAAGTCCAGGTGACCGACTTGCACATTTACAGTGAAAAGCAGAGGCTTAGAGGTTTGGAGACAGAGGGCTTGTGGAGGGGAGAGCCTGCGAGGTGAGAAGGGATTGCGACTTTGGAGCGGTGGCTGGGAGCAGCCCGCTGCCGGTAGAGACAAGGCCCCCATGGCACTGAGTGGCCGGTGTGAGGCTGAGGAGCCTGGGCCTGGGGACCCCAGGTCTGACCTGAGCGGCAGAGCAGGGTTGGAGTGTGCGGGGAGGCTGATGCTACAGGGATGGGAACCAGGAGGAGCCGCAGAGGCGCTGTGGGGTGCTGTGAGGTCCCTCGGTCCCATCACCTAGTACAGGGGCTGTGCCACAGGAGGAGGAGTCTGATGCCCTGTGGGAGGGGCTGCCGCCGAGGCTGGTGACAAAGGCGCAGCATGGTGGCAGTGGAGACCAAAGGAAAGGAGCGGGTGAGAGCTCCAAAGGCGCAGGCAGGGGATTTGGGTTTGCATTCGGCACCCAGGCTGGAGGACTCGAGGAGAAAGGTGACAGCCTGCTGGTGACACTGGTGACCGCGTTAGACAGGAGGAGCTGCAGTGTGGTGGCATTTGGTTTCTGGAGCTGCAACGTGAGAGGCCAATGAAAACGAGGGAAGAACTGGCCACCCTTTACCCGCCAAGGGGCACGAGGGGCTCACGAGCGAGGCTGGGCTGGAGGAGAGGCTGGGCTGTCTGTCACCACTCCGCAGGTCCTGGACGAGGTCCCCAACTCCCACGTTCTGAAGAGGCGGGGGACTCAGATGAACCTCCAGGACTGTGGGGGATTCTGAGGAATACTGATAGACACAGACTGCTTCCTGAATGCTTGGTCGGTCTTTGTCTGCCTGCCTGTCTCTGTCTCTCTCTCCCTGATTTGTTTGAGACAGGATCTTACTATGTAGTTCAGGCTGGTCTTGAAATGACAGACATACTCCTGCCTCAGCCTCCCCAGTGCTGGGATTACAGGCATGTGCCACCATACCTGGCAGTCTCTTTTCGGACAATGTGAAAGTGCAGTCTGGGACCAGTTTTCATCTTTTTTGGAGCTATAATTATATATAGTTATATGCTGAAAGAGATGAAGTACTCCCGGTAGACATAAAGGATTGATGAATGGCTTAGGAATTACTTGCTGGAATAGAGCTAAGCCCATGAACATATTATAAGTCAGGCACAGTTTAACTGTATCAAACAGCACTCAATTCCAAATAAATTGCACTTAAAAGGAATTTTTTTCTCTCCAATTTGAATTTTTCTACCACATTTAAGGCTTTCTGCATATTCCTCCCAATATTTTAGTGTGGTAGTTTTTAAACATGTGGCACAGCTGAGGAGTTTCTAATGAAAACCTTTCCACCTGTCACCTAGGTTTTGCCGTTAGGGTTTCACCAGGAGGCTGGCGGTGTTACTCAGTGGTACAGTGCTTGCCTAGCACGCAGGGGGCTCTGGTTTCCATACCCAGCACAAGAAAAACATTTTGAAAAATATGTTTGGTACCTGCCTCTCCATTTATCAGTACTCTGTATTATGTAAATTTTATTAAATATTGTAATTGTGATTATAATATAAAGTTTACATTCACTCTTTCAGTACATATTAAGACAAAAATATTTTCCCAAGGTATGACAAATTACTCATAAACATTTAACTTGATTTAAAAATACTTCAAATATTTCTTCATGCTAGAGGTAACTTGAAGATCCTGCATTTTAGTTTTTTTAAATACTTAGATATATCTGTGTGAAGTTCTGTTCTGTTTTTAAGTTTTATTTTATTTTCTGTGCTGTGGATTGAACTCAGCTGTTACTGCTAAGCTAAATCGCTAGCTAGTCCAAGATTTTTTTTGTCATTTCTTTCTTTCTTTACTTTTGAGACAGGGATTTGCTCAGTAGTCGAGGCTGGCTTGGAACTATGTAGTTCAGGCTGGCCTCAAACTCACTACGTAGCTTAACCTGGCCTCAAACTCATGGCCATCTGCCTGCCTCGGCCTCCCCAATGCTGGGATCGCAGGGGTGTGCCACCACACCCAGTTTTGACTTGGGTTCTATATCAAAGGTATCTCATCGCTTTTGTACAAATATTCCAAAATCTGAAAAAGAAACTGAAATCTCAAATGCTTCTGGCCCAGGCATCTGGGATGAAGGACACTCAGCCCGTATGTTGCTGGTACCCACGACTCCAGTTCCATGGGTGTCTCAGTGCTGGGGCCGCTCCTCGCTCCCCTCCCCACGCGCAGCTGTGCGCCCACTCCCGCTGGCCCTGGACGCCCTTCTCACCTTGCTGGCTGGAGGGCAGTTCCCAGTCCCAGGTCTCGCCCGCAGCCCACTTCCGGTCTGCGCACCCTTTCTGCAGCCGACTTCCGGTCTGCAGGCCCTTTCTCGCGCTTCCTCCCAGGCCGGCCAGGACTGGCTCTTACCTGCTCCTCAGAGCCCAGGGGATTTAGCCAAGGAACCGGACCCTGAGACTCATCCAGAAAAATCACACCAACTTCGATTAGTTCAGCCCTGACCTGGGAGGAAAGGAGCGGCTGGACCATGTTCCCCCGGCCCTGGTCTTTCCCTCTGACCTAAGGTTCTTCGTTTAAGTCAGAGGCCCTGGGGGACGCGGCAGACGCTTCCCCGGCGCAGAGGTTCCCCTCCTTGGTCCAGTCCACGCAGGGAGGCTGCAGAGGCCCAGCAGGTGGCTCCTGGCGGGGGAGAGGACGGGGCACAGGTGCAAACCTGGTGAGCTGACACTGTCAAAACACAACTTTGCTACCTGGATAAGTGAGCCTGGGCATCTTCTTACTGTTTCACGTGCACCCAGAATCACACGTGTGATCCGGACGCAGGTGACCTTGGAAGGTCATTTCCTGCTGCTGTTTTTCTCAGTCCTCCGATGGCTCTCTCAGTTATGATTCGTTTTTAAACATTGTCATCAACAGCTACCACGATGTTTGAAGCTGGGAAGGACAAAGGAAATCCAGACGAATTTGCTGTCGCACTCGATGAGACTCTTGGAGACTTTGCGTTCCCGGACGAGTTCGTCTTTGACGTTTGGGGAGCCATCGGTGATGCCAGACAGGGCTGATTTTGACGTGCACGGTCCAGCTCTGGAGAAATGAACCATCGTTCTTAAAAAGAGAATCGCAACTCTGAAGAACTCTCTTAGATGACTTTATGAACTCTGGTTTAATTTTCTGTGTGTGGAATACATTCTTTGAAATATAATTTTGATTTCTGGATGCCTCTTCAAGCAGCTCCTCATGTGGTATGGTTCAGATAAATCGCCTAAAATGTCAGTCTCAATATTCATTCAGAGGCCTTTAAAGGGAAAATTTAAGGCATATTTCCACACAGATGACTTTGATCCCCATCAACACACCTGGGCTTCGTTTTCCACATTGAGTGATTGATTGCAATAGCTTTATAATTTTTTTGTTTGTATGTTTATTTTGCAAAATCTGAATGTAATAAAAATTAGAATTGGTGTATGATTTATCTCATAACATCTCAATTTTGTTATATTAGCTTGAGAATATGTTCAGAAAAAGAAATATGAATTACACATTTTTTAAAAAAGCATTTTTCAAATCCACTAAATAAGGGAAAGAGGATTCCATTGGCTGTTTTTTTTTAATGACATATGTTCTCTCTTTATAAAAAAATTGTCCTGTTTTTTGCTTCTTTGTAATTGTTCTTAAAACTTGTTGAAATCTGTTGTGTGTGTGTAATTGTGTATGTATAAACACATGTTTATGAGGCAGCTCTTAAAATATTTCTTTTTTTTTGTTCAATGCTGCTTTTATGTTATCCTTTATAAGCACTCCAGGGAAGGTTTTGTAGTCTTTGCAGCATTTTTCTTTTGAAAGATATTTTGAAAGATACTTTCTTTTGGAAGAAAATAACTGTGTTTGAAGATTTTTTTTTTGCGGGGGGGACTTAAGCAATAATCCTTTTCAGCTTTCTAAACTTTAGAGGAGATACTATCAGAAATAGATTTGCCCTGAGGGGAAATAAAGGAGAAAAGGCAAATGAGCAAATGTATTAGTGTATTATTTTAGAGTTCTAACACACTCGCTCTAAACCTTACATTGTCAAGAAAATTGAGGCTAAATGACAGTCTTATCGCTCTTATTTGACATTTTATTGATGCAAGAGAAATAGAAATGAATGGTTTCAACATAGATTATTTAATAAGGCAAAGCATGGTGCAACCAAGTGTCCTTCTAAAGTGTTAGATGAAAAACGCTATGTGCTGCCAGTGTAATCAGAAGTAACAAATAACCTGTAAGAGACGTGTTCTAGGAAATCGGAAGAAGTGCCCTTTTCCTGCTGGGTTATTGCTTAGATAGCTCTTTTGTTTTCTGGTAAAACTTTACTTTTAATGCTCTCCACTCCCCTGTCATACAAGCCTAACCTGATAGGCTTTGTTTGATGACTTTGAAACTAGTGTGTAACAAAAGTGCCTTATAGAATATGGGTGGTTTTCCAGTGCAGGCTGTAATTTGTTGGTATTAGTTTGGTGGCTTTTCTTCAGAAATGCCAAAATACCTGTTGAATGTTAATATTGCCTCTCTTAGAAGTAAAGAAAGAGCTGATGGTTTTAGGAATGAAAAATTATTGGATGATTTAGGAGGCCCACAGAAATATTTCAGTTTAAGAAACAACAAAAATATAAAAATTTTGGCATTAGCATTGGCAATGTTTCATGTTTTTATTATTAATTCATCTTTTTTGAGACAAGTTCCTCTTCGGTTGTCCAGGCTGGCCTCAAACTTGCAGGCTCAGTTGATCTTCCTACGTCAGTCTCCCCGGGAGCTGGCACGACAGCTGTACCCCACCATGCCCTGCTAATTGCTAATTTGTTTGTATTGATGGATGTCAGTTTCTTGTGTTTTGAGGGCGTGCCAGAAGACGGAAGCTTGGTGCTGTTTCCCTATGGTTTATGGGATGTCATCTTCACAGTGACCTTTCTAGAACTTTGACATGTAGGGAACCAGTATCCATGTCCAGCTGTAACTCTAGCAGTCCACTGTCATTACCAAGATGCAGCTGACCCAGGTGCTTTTTGTACTGATAGCTTTTTCCTTGAAATGTCCTTACCTCTTGATTCCATTGCTAAACTGATAATGAGGCTAGCTTCTTGTAATTTTCTTCCCATACCCCCAAAAAAACGTATATTTGTGAGCTCTGTGCTGTTTTGCAACTCATGGTGCATACAAAGGAGCAAGGTCAAATTTGAGTTCAACACGTGAGTGTGACAGTCATGTACTCTCCTGCTGCCATCATGACACAAATCGGTTTTTAAAAAACATTCCATTCTGTTGGCACCACTAAATTTTCAAGACTCTTGTTCTGTGCTGTTTCTTTTTTCCATGGAGGAAGGTTTTTTTAAAAATTTGTTCATGATTTTCTTCTGTTCGGACAGCGTCTTCTTTCAGGGGCACCAAAGAACACACCATGCATTTTCTTGGATTGTGGCAGAAAATGCAGATGGTGATTAAACCTTGGGCTCAGTGGGTCCTGATCAGATGTAAAAATTCCCATGATTACAGACAGGAATATTTTTGGCTTCTGTGATGCTTCAAAAATGCAATTATATAATTTTATGATGTAAACTCTTTACAAATTCAATTACAGAAGCAGTCATCCGTTGGCCCTGGTTTGGAGCTGCTACATCCAATATTGTTATGTGACAGGTAACTGAAAGGAGATAAGTGAGTTTCCCAAATGTTATACGATGTGCAACATATTCCCCTCTAACTTGAGCAAATATTTTTGCAAGGGCAGCTTCCCTCATTGAGTCCATGTCTAGAGGCTTCCTGGTCTCTTGTGGTTCTCATTGTGTCAGTCCAGCAGCAAAATGAAATTCATCTGCAATTTCCACATAAGGGTTCTTCTAAATAGAGCACAGCTGTCCACCAAAGCTGTAAAAGATCGATCGCATCACAGCCCTCACATTCTCTGTGACATCTAAAGCTCTGTGGACACCAGTAGCATTGCTGTCCCGCTCCTGCATGGACGAGGTCAGAAGGCCAGCTGAGTGTCCTGCCTGAGTTGAGGTAGGACACGATGTCCGCTCAGGCCTGAGCACCCGTATCCTGTGTGAAAGGTGTACTTATCTTGACACAGGTTGAAGGAGACATCAGAGTAATCACAAGTCCTTACACATGCCATGGTTGTAAAATGGACAAAATAGCACAGCTTGTCCCGCATTATTACCTGAAAACTTAGTTCTAAGAAATGGCACCCAGTTCTTGTCTGCTGAAGATGAAAGGTGAATATGAGATCCTTATTTCAGTTGGAGACAGTAAGTCTCTAAGGCTCAGGATATTTTCCATCGCCATAGATGTTTTTCTGGCAGTAACAAAAAAGGAAAAATTCAGAAAATATTTCCAAAGGTGGTTTTGAGTAAATATTTCATATTTTGAGCTATTTGTGTCATATAATGGTATTGACTATTTATGGATAATATTCTACTTTTCTGGGGAAAATATTTTTTTAAAATAAAAATCAAAGCATATACTTTAAAATATTTTTTGAGATTGAATTTTGGGAACCTATTGATATCTGAAATTGTAAATTATATGTTGATACTGTTTAGAATACATTATTTCCTGTATGCCTACTCACAAATTATAGATTTAGTCAAATGTTGATCAAAAAGCAAATTATTTGCTAACCTATGATTTTGTAACATTTCTTACATTTAAAATATGCCTCCTTAAATAATTTTTTTTTTCATGAAAAAAGGGATGAATATTTTGTCATTAGAATGGTTTGGAGTTTTAATAATTTTAGACTTTTAAACATTGATTAACAATATATGAATAAAATGAATAACACCATTATTATTCAGGCCTTTATGTTTTTAACATGTTTTTAGTGTACTTTTTTCTTATTTTGTGTGAGGCATAACCTCTCTATTGTCATAAGCTGTTTCAATTATATGGTAGAGGTTTAGTCTGGGTATGCTTTCTCTTTTATTCTTTCATTCAACAAATTTTGTTAGCAAAGTTTCTAAACAGTCGTGTGGAGAAGTAGGCAGGAGAACTATCATCCCATGGTTCGTAGGTAGTTACATCTTTGGGGATTATTATCTTCTTCGTATACTTTGAAGGCCATATCAGAGCTGTTAGAAGTCCATAGAAATGCACCCTAGTTTCAAACATTTGGAGGTTTATCCGGGAATCTGCATTTTGACCCATCCGCCAAGCCATGCTAGTGGGGGTGAATCATAAATTATTGCTGCAAAGTCACTGAAGGCCATGGCTAAGCACTAGGGTGAAAGATTCAAGAGCCCAGGCTGGATCGAGGTAAGCAGGGACATAAAGGAGATTTCTACTGCAGAGAGAGAAGTGGTACATGTGGAGAAGAACTAGAACTGATAGTAAGGCTATTAGAAAATGTACAGTATAGCTGAGTTTTAAAATGTACCTGGGTGAGCTGGAAGAAATTGTTGCCTTAGTGAAGTAGGCTCCTCCTTGATGGAAAATCTCTGGATTAATCCACTTGATGGCTCTACCTGGTTTACATGCAGTGTTTGAAGCTCACTGATGGTACAAATAAACACTGGCTGTTTACTTCCCCTTGTTAGATATTTTATCCTTTGTTAGTTTTGCTGAGGATCCTCTGGAACAATGGTTTCCTAAGAACACATTTGCTTTTAATAGAATGGAATTGTGAGGCTCGATAAGAAAAGTGGCCTCTCTGGCAGCAATTTCGATGGCTGCTATCATTTCGATTGCGGAAAAGCCAAGCTTATAAAGATGCTGCATGAGTTCTTGCATAGATTTTCTCTTAATGAGCATCCCTTCACGTAGGGGTAGGTATTGAACCTCTTTTGTGCTTTATCATCTTATGTGTCATCGGAATGTATTTGGGAAAGAATTTTCATGAATTTTGAAAATTACGGGTCTAATGAATAAAGTGAGACTTGGAAGGGTGGTGTCTCTAAAAGTTAGAATTTATACCCCCGTGTGGTTCAGACGGGTTGTTATATACATCATTTAGTTTGTTTTAATGGCTTTCCAGAGATGAGTAAACAGAAAAATAAAAATGAAATAAAACCAAAGACTGTTTCCCATAAAACGAAACACCCTTTTCTGCAGTGGCACTGGAGGACAATGAGGAAATGAAGTCCCCTGCCTGGAAGGAATGGTGAAGAATCGTGAGCTGGCTTAGCCGCAGGAGAAGGGGGCCGGGACTCTGTAGCCGTCTTCCGCAGGTCCCTCCCTCCTGGGATCCCTCTGTGACTCACTGCCTTCATCCCGTCCCACTCTACCCTCTTTTCTTTGGTGGCCCTTCCGTTCCTGTGGCTGAAGTATCCTTGTCTTAATGGCCCCAATCCAAAATCTCCTATGCAACCCTTTCTCAGGGCTGCGGACTGAGATGTTCTGCCGCTTTTTTGAGCGCTCCACTTGGTTTTTCAAAACTTTCAGGTCCAGGATGAAGCCTCAGCTTTTTCTAGAGAGTCTTGCTTTCCTCAGTGTTCTCTGACAGAGTGGCATCGAAATTCACCTCACTCTTCCTTCACCT